ACCGCACTACGACACTTGGCTTCAAGGCAGAACCTGGCCAGTTGATCTGCTGCACATTGAAGGGATGTCATCTTTGCTTCATTTCTTGGGAGAAGAAGGTTGCAAAGCAACATGCCATTGTCAGCAGGACAGTGAATGTACTGCTACCAGCACTTCCCTTAGCTGCTGTTGTGGCAGAAACAGGTTTAGGCGCACTTGTCCCCGAACCTGATAGAGCCGGGCTGCAGAGATCTGTAGCGCAACACTCATTCCTGTTTGCATACTCCTCCCTCCTCAAGCCGCCTTGCACGACTTCAATGTTGTGTCGCTGTTGCATAACGCCTTCGTAGTACAGACTCTTGTAAATGACTAGGTTAACATTAAACATTAGCTAGTGTATAAGGGGTTAGTAGTTTTTCAGATAAATACAGCGTAAATTTGCTGCATGTCATCGCATATGGAAAATTTGCGTGCTGTAAGAAGAGTTCAGCGCGAGTAATTTTGATTGATGACTGTTTTGGCAAATGTCAATCGATCAATCATAAAACTGGGAGGCGGGCTTTTCGTATTGGACTCTTTTTGTTTCACCTTGCCCATTTTAATAGTTATTTTTCAAGCTAAACGAAAATAGAGCCTGATCTCTGCAAGTTACAATATCAGTGATTTTTTTTATTGCCTACGTTGTATCTGGCAATTAATGTCTTAACATTTCTCACATGTTTCCAAAAATCATAATTTTAGTTGTCTTAGAACATCCACGACCGGCTACTGTAAAAGAAGACAGCGGGCCTATTACAGGCTTTTATACCAGTAGGTCGTTGGTCGTCTGCACACAAAATGAGAGTTGAATTTTACACCATTTGGTAAAGTGATAGATAATCTATTTTCAAACACAAATTGAAGGTCGTTAACGTACAAGTTAAAGAACAAGGGAATTTGAAGACTTAGCCAAGGGTAATTTGGCCTCGCACCTCCCCAAAGCGGACGCCGACTGTAATAAGCTAACATTTTAAGTCCCGAACTCCAAAGGATGTCCTCTTATCGTGGGTGGGTGAGGGGGGCTAGACTATAATTCTCCCTTGGGCCACCCTTACACAATACCTTTGTATACAACTAATTAGATATTGAGACTCGATACGGTTAGGAGGTTTCGAAGCTCATGGTTGAGAGCCCTGAAGTGGGTGGTTAGGGCGCCAAAAAAAGTGTCTGAAACACCGAAAAAGGACCAAGGACTTAACTTCAGAATACTCGGCCACTTAATTTGCATCTAGTTGGAGAAGAGAAATTACGACGGGCTATACGTGGCGAGCAAGAATCAAACGAAGGGGAGTCGTGAGGCTAACTTTATCATGTGCACTTCCAAAAGAGAAAAGCATTCCTTCTCAATTGGGATCCTTACTACACTCCAGACATCGAGGAGACATTATTATTTGACTACGGGCAGTCTAATCTGCTGCGACATGTTTCGACACTGTCTTGAAAAATGGAAGAGGCTTTTTTATGATTGTCATACAGACCCAAATACAAGGAATTTATCTAAAGGAATAAAATAAACTACACCGCGGTAAATTATAAGCATCGTCAAACTAAGCAGGTCTCTAACATGGGCTGCCTTATTCCGCGAAACAAAATTTGTCAGTGGACACTGAAAAAAGCGTTCTTTAATACATTATTTAATCAAAAATACTCTTCTTTATAAATTAGTCATTTATTATGTTGGCAAAATAGCAAAATAGTCAAAAATTGACTTCTGGACTTAACCTGATCTTATCCAGTCTACTTGTTGCACTGTGAACATCGTCATGCATAGTCTTCCAGTGGTTTATCACCTTCAGAAAGAGTAAGGTTTACTAGAGAACACAGTATAGATTCCGGCATATAGCGAGGTTAATTTTAATTTATTTGAGAATCAGTTGAGCGGACAAGAAAAAACTGTCCGTTGTCCCCATTAACAGGTTGCGCACGTCAAGATATTTTGATTGTTTAGTTTAATATTTTCCTTTGATGTATCTTGCAAATGTTGTTCTGAATCCTTCAATCCTTCAAAAGCTTGAAGAACATTTTTAGCTCCATTACATGTTGTAGTCACATATTATTAATCAGTTTTTTTAATACACGCCCTATTTGAGCTACTATACGTACGTGTACGTGCCAACTTTTAGGCTATCAAGACCTGTTGCTCAAGTGTTTAAGTGCAGACGTTTTAGTTCATTGCCAAGATTTCCGGCGTTATCTCAGACACTAATATTCCACTCCATGCACATTTCGATTTTTGCCGGGGGGTAATCCTGGGAATTCTTGGTGGGGGGTGCGCCCCCGGTTTCCGAAATCCTAACCCTATTTTATTTCACTTTCCACACCCGTTTTCAGACCTAGCCTCTAAAATCCATGCCCGTTTTCAGACCTCGCAGGCAAAAATTATAGACCGCCAACTAAAAGGCTTCCTTAATTCCACTGGGAATTCGCATATCACTCTTCAGTTTCGTATTCATTTGGAACTGAAACGAAAAATACGCTCATACACACCAGTAGTTTCCTCGAAAGTCATACCCGATTTCAGGCCAAAGTGGGCAAAGTCTATACCCGCGTTTTCAGACCAAAACGGCGCAAAAAACCTACCCGTTAATGCGTTGGGGCGGCATATACCTGTCTGGCTTATATAAGGGAGTAACACCCCCGGGTAGATTTTGTTATTTGATATTTGGGTGTCTTTGTTATCTTAAAAGGAAACTTTCAGGGGGGCAATTTATCACCGACTTTTCCCCGAGAAGTGGTCCTGTTCTTGTAGTATTAATAGTAAATGAGATTTGACTTCTACGCCGAAAGGTTTTACCCCTAAAACGCCCCGAGTGAAAAGCCAACGCCCAGATACCAATACATCAATAAATAACCCTTATAATTGCCCCTTTGAAAGTTAGGGACTAAAAATAAATTTAGATGGATTAAGTGCCCCTGGAATATTGTCGGCTTTAATGCCAAGTGTTGAATGTTGGCAGGATGCACGTATGTCATTTACAGTTATTATTTGCTATTACTTACATTGATTAAATAATGTTGACAAATTTAAAGTTTGTACCTGTTAACCTTTCTATGAAAGTAATAAAAAAACAGTGTACCTAAAAGATTAAAGTACATATAGGCAATATAGATGATAATATTAAACTCGCGTTGCCGATTGGCTTATCATAAGAGCATACCGTCGGGCTTATTCCTTGATGGTTGGAAATGAATATAATATAACTCTGACATTGATTGACACATGATATCGATATTGACAGCAGCTCCAGAAGCACGTTTAAAACCGATAGCTGGTTACGTTTGCCGTCAGTCGTCAGGCCTTGCAGCATTACTGAGGTACTGAAGCAAACTAGACGCTGTTCAGGATGCTTTCTTCAAAGCTGGAGTTTTTGGGTGTTTTCGCCTTTGTGCTTTGCATTTCCCTGGGTAAGCTTTTCTCTAATTCTACCCCTATTTCATTAACTATTTTGTACATGGGTAGCACTCAGCTATTACACCTTTCTAGATATAATCAGTACTGAAGCTAAATGATGTACACCGTATATTACACTGCATCTAGGTGGTAGCCAAAAGCAAAAGCGTAGCGCCTGTCTTCCTTTAAAACAGAAAATATTTTTTTTCCAACAACCACTTAATAATATTTCTTTTTTTTTGACCATCGAATAAGTAACTGGCGCGAAATGGTTATTAAAAATAGACTTAAAACTATTATTTGTTCTAAGCCGTCTAAAAGATCGAGCATCGCACAAGGTTGAGGATGATGCACTAGTCTGGCCTTTGAATACTAAGTGAGAGCAATAACTAAACCACATTCTTTTATGTTATTTTTTCGGCCCAGGCTGAAAAGTCTTATTTTTGTTACCGTTTTTAGGCTGAAAATATTCTTGTATTATCCTTTAAAAAGGAAGAAAATATCATGATGATACTGGCTTTGCAGTTTTGGGCATTTCTTTTGTGCTGTCTTGATACGGTACAAAAGTATGACATGTATACTTCATCGTACTGTCATTAGCTTTTAACATTTGGCTTAAGGTAGTGCAGGTTTTTTCCTTCTGTTCGCTAGTTTTACTAGTTTGAGAAAACTGACGACATTTCGCGACGCCATCAACGGTTTCCCCCGGAATTGACGTCTTAGAAACGAGCGCAGAAATTCTATACCGATGAAGCGTCACTACACAGATCTGGGTAGTACTTCTGATTGGTTGAAGCAAGTTTCACAGGCGGCACTACCAACTGGAAGGACTGCCCAGATCTGGGTAGTGACGCGTCATCAGTTTGGAATATCTGCGCTCGTTTCTCTGACGTCAATTCGTGGGGAAACCGTAGGAGGCGTTTCGAAATGTCCGTTATCTCAGGCTATAGTTCTACCGTTTAGAAAAAGAAATCAGTAATTTTATGTGGTTATTTGTATGCATGGAATTGTATATCTGTATTGCATTTACATATTTTCAACACATATAAATAACATCCTTTTCAAAATCTTGACCTGGCATTTTTTCTTCAAATATTAATATTATTATTAAAATTTCGCACATTTCAGCCTTGATATTCCTATGAAATATGCCATATTTGAACTTGTTATAAAAAGAAACGAGTGAAACCAAGTGACTGCTCACTTAACGCGATCACTTAACGCCATTCGACGTTGAAATCCTGATAACATGAAAATAACGAGTTGCTATGTTAAACAGAGCAATCATACCACGTACTGCAATAGTGTTTGAGTGACCAAGAATTCCCCGGAGAACCCCCTCCTCCGGGGGAAAGGACCCACCTTGCTAGTTTCCAACTTAAAATGCTAATGAAGCTGAAAATTTATCTTGACTAGTGATCCACCCTTGTTATTGATTTTAGTATTTGAGATAGATATTCATATTATTTTGGTAACAGCTTACTGCTTCTAACTGCTTTTAAGGGCCGTTATAAACGGTGTTCAATTTCAATTGATTTTGCAAAATACGTGCAAAGAACCGTAAGAAAATCTTTTGTAAAAATTCATATTTATCTTTACAGCTGCTGGACGCAAGTGCTACACATGTAGTAGTACTGTAAGTGAGGAAGATTGTAGCAAGAATCAACAGGAGACTGATTGCGGAGAAGGTTTAGATGGCTGCCTCACCACGGGCCAGAATTATACAGCTGGTCCAGTAACAACAACATTATTCACAAAAATTTGCACTGCCAAACAAACGTGCGACGCCGGTGAAACCGGCTTCTTAAGCGCTTGCAAGGCGGCTCAAGGTACTACGTGTGAATATAAGTGCTGCGATACAGACCTCTGCAACAGTGGTTCCACGCCTATAGTCAGCATTATCCTAATGGTGTTATGCATCGTTGCGGGCTTTCTCCGCTAAAGAAACAAGAGTGTGCGGTGCAGTCAAGAGAAGGATTCTCCAAACAAACATGTTTGTTAAATAAACTTTAAAATAACTTAGTAGTAAAATTAAAAGTTCAATGATACTGATGCTTTGTTGCATTAGCCGGTTTCGTTATTGACCTATATAAACCGTAATACGCTTTTTAGCTAACTGAGTTACTGCAGTTAAATGTTAATGAGAACGAGGATTAAATGGAATTTCTCAACTTGCGATCTCTACTTTTTTTTATAGTATCCTGTGCAACAAAACACAATTCCCAGGTATCTCTTTGTACAGGCGGGGGTTGTAGCAACCTGTATGTTAGCACGTACCTGCGTATCTGAAAAAGTGTCGAGGATAAATGATAAAAATGGACAAACTAACTGCAAAAAAAAAAATAGAAAATAAAACAAAGCAACAGTAGGTAAATAAGTCATAGCTGAAAAGAAGGGCATGCGGTGCATGTGTGAGCTCCGCTTTAACTTCTTATTGTGAATTGTTTCCAAACAAGATGCAGTTTTACTTTCTGATTTAGCAATTGTTCCTCCAAATAAAAGCTGTTCCTGATGCGTGAAAAGCGCGTTTTTGATGACAACGAAAAGCAATCTTTTGAAAACTCATTAGTGTGGACACGGCCGAAAACTGATAAAAAACAAACAAAAGAAAACAAAAATGATTTATTTTCCTCCGGCTCGTACTTTCACCAAATGAACTCAATAACTGTTGCTAATAAAAGTCCTTTTGTTTTGCTGTTTTGAGAACCGAGCAGACCAGTTTTTGTGTGTCTGTTTGTCGTTTTACTGTTTTTTTGGCTTTGTTGCGTAACCGCTGTTACTCCTTTCATAGAACGAAGTGAAGGCTGGTCACTTCGATCTGGCAGGGACTATGAAAGGAGTAACAGCGGTTACGCAATAAAGCCAAAAAAACAGTAAAACGACAAACAGACACCTGTAACGCGACACCAGCGCGTCACCTATGTTATGTAAATTACATTACACCCTTCCCTCGCAACGTGAGTTTGGGCCGCCTGTGGTTTTCAATATTTATTTACCCGCTGTCGAGGGCAGGGACTGGGTTGTTCGTGATAAAACTTATGATATGCAGCCAACTGTCAAGATTACAAGCAAACTTGAAGACGTCGCATGAGTTTATCACCTGTTTCTCTTTGTTATTAGGCTTCAAGTGGATATTTTTAACCGGATAGAAGATCAGAACTATCATCAGATAACTCTTCCACGCTGGCTACCGCCATTGTGGCAGCAATTCAAATCGCGCTTCTGTGACTCAGCGTGTGACGTATGATCATAGCTCTGCTCTGATTGGATATTACTAAGAAGGAGTGAAAAATATTCCGCGAAAGCTATTTCTATAAGTTTGAATTATCGTGCAATAACTTAAGCAAAAAAAAAATTGTAATGTCCCTTACGGGCCACAGTATACGACTCCTCAGAGGATTGAAGAACACTTCCATGACTATAGTCCTCTATCTCTAGTGTATATTTAAGCCAGATATTGATTTGTTAAATTTTAAACACGCCTTATCCTGGCTACGTGCGCGTCAGTTTTTCTGAGCCTATCAAGACCTGTTTCTTGCTCAAGTGTTTATTCAATTAAAAGCCAAAAAGGTCTCCGGTGTTCTGGCAGATATCCTTTTAAGGGGTGATGAATGGTCCATTAAAATTTTTAACCTGCTGGCAAAATTTTACCTTAGCTCAATTTGCTCACAAAATTTAAAAGAGTGCTCGCTTGCTCGTGTTCCCAAAAGTTTTGCAGTTGCTCGCATGCTCGGTTTCTTGTCAGTATTGCTTGAGATTTTGTGAAATACTTCTTGTGTATTAAAGTAAATATAATTCTTTTCGGGCTATTCTGTATGGTGCTTAACTAAATATGGCTACCATATATATGCTAATCTAGAAAGAGAAGATATTGCTACCTTGAGTTTTTTTGGGCCGTGCTTTCAATAAAAACGGTTCGGAAGCTTTAATTTGGGATTCTTCCAGAGGAGGTTGTTCTGAGACGAGGGTGTTGTTTCTCTTCAAGTTCTTTTTCAAGTTCTTCCTTCTTCAACCCCCTTGTACGCTCGAGACATTCTTCGTAGAGCTCTTGGTTTAAATCGATATCAAAACTTTCGTCTGTGAACTGCAATTCCCAGACGGTTCCAGTCACAAGATGTTTCTCTACCTGAGCGGTGAACTCGTAATTGAATATTGGGCAATCTTCGGGATCGCTCACGTACAGGTGTGTTTTTACTTTAGACGAAGTTCTCTTAAGGTTTTGCGCAAGCTTTCCTAAAATAAAAGGTCCACTGATCTCTTTGAACTTAGCGATGAGTATCACATCGTCTTTTTAAAATATTTTATGTTTTATTTTAAAGAAAATGATTTATTTTATTTTTATTATTTGTTTCATGACGAACTGAAAATTTGTTAAATAGAGGTGTTTAAGGGTCTGAATACTACATGAGTGTAGAAACTCCGAAGAATCGATAGTTTCTTAGTTTGAGTTTTGGTGACGTCATGTAAAAACTGAGAATAAACTGAAAATTCTTGAATTCCCCGCACCCAAAAAACTGACAACCAGAAATGCGGTGCGGGATAAGCAGACAATTCACAATCAGTGGCAAAAGCATATAAGGATACAATATAAGACAATGTTCATTAAGCAAACATATTTACAGTATAATAGATAGCTAATCGCTTGGATACCATAAGGGTACTGTCCAAAAATTGTTAAGCATATCCACCTGCGGCAAGGATTCTGTGTCATCAAGCAACGTTAAGCCATCAGAATTAATTGGGCAAATGTAAATCTCTCCATACTGCAACAAACAACACAACTCGCGCAATGTTTATCAAGCAAATCACATACTGAAAATTAAAGAGCCAAATTTCTAGATACCACAAGGGTATTTTCCAAAGATTCATCGACATAACCATCTGGGGCTTGGATACTGCGCCAACCACCATGTCTACGCCATACTCTCCCAGAAACTCCGCTGCGTGCTGCTTGGGAAGCACCACCTGAACGAAGGCTATGTAAACCAAATTCGTTCGAGTCTAAACCAAGTTCGGAAATCATTTGACGAAACTGTTCCCGTGCCCGAGAATATGACAGAGCAGCTTGTCGCAGCTTGTACCCGGCACCCAATTTCTGGCAGAGACAAAATAAAGACTGAGATGGTTGATGCTCTCCGCGCTCAAGGAATAACTCTAACAGTTTCACTGGACAAGAGCTGGAAGGTAAACGAGCAACTTTAACCACAGATCCCTGACGGAATTGATCGTTCTTACGCCTGTCTAGGAAAATAGACATGTGGGTGGCGCAAAACCTTAAGTCACAGGCACGTAAGTCACGCAGCTCTGACCAACGTAGGAAAGCACAAAAACCAAGCGCAACCAGCGACACCATTTGTAGGTTCGGTAGAGAAGCACGAGGGTGACCATAGGAACGAATCAGCGCCCTGACGTGATGAGATTCTATAGGCTGCTTTTTCCTAGATGGACCAGCCAGGAGGCGTTTAAAGCCAGCCAAGGTCTGAGAAACGAGCGGATCGTCGACAGGATTAGGACATCCAAGTTTCTTATGTAGCCATGCAATGCCATAAGCTGCTCCAAGGATTGACGACCGAGATAAGCCTCGGTCTGAAAGACTTGTTAAGTAGAGAGCAACTGCGGTTGGGTTAGACTGTAAAGGAGGAAACGAGTAACACTTGCACCAGTCAATCCATCGATTGGCTGCCCCTGCATACGAAGACACGGTTGAAGCGGCACAGTCATTAAGTATGACAGTCTTTAACAGTTCTACAAGCCTCTGAATCTCCGCGTTGCTCCGTTGGTAAGGCGACAAGCCTAAAGTGAAAATCAACAATGTCCAAAACATGGCACTTTAAAGACAGGAACAACATCCAATTGCTACAGAACACTAAACGCGCAAGATACACATCGTCTGCAACGAGAACTGCCCACATGGCAAGTTAACACAGCACCAGTACACACTCCAGCACAAGGAGGCTTGGCCCACTCGGCGTCAACTGGTAAGCAAATCCACACAAAGGATAGAGGAGTCCACTTGACTCTAAAAACGAACACACTACTGTGTCGGCAGTGCCCTCTCGGCTTGCTTCAGCTGCACAACTCGTGCGTACTAGTACAGTTCCAAGTCCACTGACTTGCAAAAGAGCAAAGGTCCACAACTAGGCCAAAAGGCTCAGATAGAACAAAAACAAATAATTAGGATGAACAACTCGTTCAAGGTACTCATCTAATACCCGAAAAACGTTCTACAGCAAAACTAAGGAAACACAATTCTCAAAGCAAATACCCTACACGAGGGAATACCATGCCCGAAAAGATCCGCGGCTGCGGAACCAGGGAGAAAAGTAGATTCATGTAAAGGAATCTCCCGCCAGTCAAGAACAAAAGGGTGGAAAACCCCGGGGCTTCGAGACACCAACGGCCACCAATGAGCAGATTGCCAAAAGGGGATAATGAGAGTGCCCTGCTCTCTACCCAGTTTCATGTGATTGATAACCCTGGGAATAAGGAACACTGGGGGGACCAACCAATTGTTTTCCCCTCCCCAGCTGACGGTAAAAGCATCAACAGTTTCGGTCCCAGGACACCACCATCGAGAACAAAACCTGGGCAACTGGAAAGAATTATGACTCGCAAAACGATCTACAGTGTGGGGTCCCCACAGAATATCCAACTGGCGAAAGTGGACATGGTTGAGCATCCAATCATCGGTGTCGACAACTTTCGACAAATAATCAGCTTTGAAATTAAAGTGGCGAGGTATCCACTCCGCAGAAAAGCGAATACCGGCTTCATGGCACAAATTGTAAATGGCAACCGCTTCTTTTTGCAAATGAGGCTTACTACTGCCGACGGACAAAATACTGCAGACGCTCTGATTGTCAGATCTATGCTTGCACTCCTTACCCGCCAAAAGACCGGAAAACGACTGAAGAACAAATCTAATTGCACGAATCTCGAGGAAAGAAGAGCTGCATAGGGCCTCGGAACCCAACCAGTTCCCTCTAGCGATGTGCGTACCAAATTGAACAATAAATCCCGCCCAACCCACATTGCTGGCATCCGAATAAGACAAAAGCTCTATCTTCGGGGAGGGCCTCCAGATTGGTTTGCCGCACAAACGAAAGAAATTATCTCTCCAAAAATTAAGTTCCTCTACAGCTTCACGCGTTAAAGCCACCTTGCAGCTAAGGCTATGAACGCTATTAAGGACTGCGTACAAGGCTCGGGTGCGCAAACGCACAATT